TTTCGTAGGTCGATCGAAGCAGATGATCTGGGGGCTGAGGAAGCTGTAGTATTACCTGAGAATTTTTATGGGAACTCTGAAAAAAACCTGTGTAAGTCGAGCGTTTAAGGTTTTCGGGTTCAGTTCAGGGTTTTGGCTGAAGTTGTATAAGTTGACGCTCAGGCTTAGGGTTTGTACATGGGGTCCTCAACCCTAAACCCCAAGCCTCAACCCTAAACCCTAAGCCTTATATCTATAACCAGAATAAGCACAGAAATATTTATGGTACTTCCGCTAGTTGTTGAGGCTTGGGGCTTCAGGCTCAGTGGGAGAAAGCAGAAAGCAGGAAAAACAGCGGGCAGCCCACTGAGGAAGGAGTATCTCTCAAGTGCTGCCCATCTTAACAGCAGCAGAAAGAGGAGAATATCTCGCAAGTACCACACTTTCCTTCAAGTTTTTTCACAGTCAGACTTTTCAAGCCTGTAAGATACTGAGTTTAAAGTCTCCACGTGCTTGGTTCTTAGCATACCTCTTAGTACAACATCCACATGTGCGCATGTACAGACGAGCGCATTCCTTCTAGGAAGACCACGTAGCAGCGCACATCCTGCAGATCGTCTCCAAACTCCTGATCCCGAAGCCCATCTGAAGAACACACCTACGAAGTCTCCTATAATCTCCTTAAGCTCTACTCAAATAGAAGTCTACAAGGTCTGATATCGTCCCATTAACGTCTCTTCACGAAGCTTGCACAAAATGGCGAAGATTGCTTGGTAAAGATTTCCCACTTCTTGGCAGGCAACGCAGGAACAGATTGCAGGGGCATTTCAAGCATTCCTGTCTGAACGACAGGGTTACGATGTGCAGTTACAAAATCTCTGCAAGGACACTGCAATGTGTGTGTATATATATATGCACATATTATGAGTAGGCACATATGGGTGTTTCTGAAAACATGCGGCCTTAGGGACCCTGCGGATACAAACGTGTCATACTGGGACTATGCTGTGCCTACTATGGAGTTCGTATGGCATTAATTTGGGAAACTCCCAAAATGCATATCTAAACCCTAAACCCTGACCTAGATCCTACACGCCAAAATTCTGAACCCCCTGGAACACCAAACCCAGAAACCCTAAACCCCAACACCCCTACACCCCTAAACCCGTAAAACCCTACACCCCTACAACCCGAGAAGATGCTGGAAAAAAGCCCTGCGCCTCGAACCAGTTGTCGTTCAGGACCTTCAGGTTATACCTTTGAGGGCAGGTAGGCAGGGTTTAGAATTCAGGGCTCAGAGTCCAGGGTGCAGGGTTTATGATCTAGGAATTAGGGCTGTAGGGCTTGGGGCTTGGACTTCACGACTTCACGGTTCAGGCGCGAGGCCCTGCCTACACCTTACCGTAAAACCCAGCCATAGCCCCAAGCCCTGCCCCAAACAGAAAAATGTAGCGGTTTGTAGCTTCAGTCTGCCCACTGCTTCTCCAGACCGTAACCGCCTGCCCAACAACACCCCAACCTTGCACAAAACCCTAAACCCTAAACCATCAGGTTGTAGTTGTGACCATAACCATCCACAACTACTCAGGAGCCTGAAAATGATACATGGGAGCTTCCCAGAACGATCCTTTTTGAGACCAGGGTTTAGGGTTTAGGTTTTAGGGTTTAGCGTTTAGGTTTAGGGCTACGCTGTCTTCACTCTCCTCATTATCCCCACATATCCCAAGGACTTTTGAGGGGTACTCCACTTCTAGCAAATATCACATACAGCGATGAGGCCCCAGCACGCCCGTTGCCATAGTCGCTGCTTGCAGCCTAGGGCCTCGGGGGCTTTGGGCTGAGGGTTGAGGGCTGAGAAGCTCGTAGTTGGACTTGACTTCAAGTTCTCAGTGAACTGCAACCCAGTAAGGAATATGGAGCCGTAATCCCTAAACTCTAAACCCTAAAACCTAAACCCTAATCCGAGTAATGAACCAGACGGTGAAGGGACCACCGTTGAGGCTTCAGAGTTGAGGAAGCGCCATAGCAGCATTCAACAAAGATATATTGGGATAATGGAAAACAAGATGCTTTAGGGTTTAGGGCTTTAATACGGTAATATATTGGGATAATGGAAAACAAGATGGAGAACTACTCTATTTGAATATCGGAATATATTTGGATAATGGAAAGTAAAATGGAAACTACTGTAATGGGGACAGTGATAAGATGAGGCGGGCGAGGCATCAGAGTTTACGGCAATTACATGGCTTCTATGGGAAAAACTAGGTTGGCCCCTAAACCCATTTGAAAAAATATTAGTATATATGGTTCCCTATTAAGGCCATTAAGGAAAATATTAAATCTCCCAGGGGCCTGCCCAGAAAAGCAGTTGCTTAGCGCCAGAGACATCTCCGGCTCAAGCCTCTTTTTCCCAAACAGATTGACACCGCTGCGAATGATCGGCTGCACAGTCCGCTTCCAAGGTATTCTTGAAGTCAAGCGCAGCAAGGTCAAAATTGGCCTTAACCCCGTCGTCTGAGGTGCTGCCTCTGGAGGCCTCGGGCCTCCGATGCCTGCGAAAACTCAGACGTCAGGTCAGGCTGAATTAGAATCAGTGAGGAAACCTGTTAGACAGGAATCTCAGCCTCCACATCTCAGCCGCACTTAGCCGTCATACTCGCCCTCCTCCTCGTCGAACTCGCCCTCCTCCTCAGCAGTCGCGTCCTGATACTGTTGGTACTCCGAGACCAGGTCGTTCATGTTGGACTCGGCTTCCGTGAACTCCATCTCATCCATGCCCTCACCGGTGTACCAATGCAAGAATGCCTTGCGACGGAACATGGCGGTGAAGTACTCGGCAACGCGCTTGAACATTTCCTGGATAGCTGTGGAATTGCCTGCAAAGGCCACGGCCATCTTCAATCCCTTGGGAGGGATATCGCAAACGGATGCCTTGATGTTGTTCGGGATCCACTCCACGAAGTAGGACGAGTTCTTGTTCTGAACATTTAACATTTGTTCGTCTACCTCTTTGGTGGACATGCGCCCGCGGAAGAGCGCAGCTGCTGTCAGGTAGCGCCCATGGCGAGGGTCGGCTGCGCACATCATGTTCTTGGCGTCAAACATTTGCTGGGTAAGTTCGGGTACCGTGAGGGCGCGGTACTGCTGCGAACCACGGGACGTCAGAGGGGCGAAGCCCGTCATGAAAAAGTGCAGCCGCGGGAATGGCACAAGGTTCACTGCGATCTTGCGCAAATCGCAGTTCAACTGCCCCGGGAATCGTAAGCAGCATGTGACCCCACTCATGGCTGCCGACACCAAGTGGTTCAAGTCGCCATAGGTCGGTGTGGTGAGCTTCAGCGTTCTGAAGCAGATGTCATACAATGCCTGACACGTGTGCAGTGCCAACCACACCGAAAACACGTGAAGCCCGGATTTCAACTAACATCTAGCCGCGCTAGATTCCAGCGTTAACTTGAAAAAGTGCTTGCTACATGAGCGTCATTGAGCTTTATATACTACCTCTCGCCACACGACTATGTTCCCAGTCGTATGCTCACTCATCTAGTGCAGGCCTCATTGTCCAGCAAGAAGGACTCGTCTGAGTTCTCGACCAACTGGTGAAAGCTCAGCACAGCCTCAGAATAAAACACACGAGGAGACTGATGTAGACCCCTGATTAATCAACCCCCTGGCCTTAATAGGTGTTATAATAAGGATCCTAATATTTAGGCCCTTAAAAGGAGGGGGTTTATTAATCATGGGTCTACATAAGAAACCATCTTCATTATTGTGATGACTTGAAGGCCCCGTTATAATCAAAGCCTTTCACCACGGCTTGCTAATGTCATGCAGGCAGCATTGTACGGCTCCACAACCGTGTCCGAAACTTTTGGACTTGGGATCACCTCTCTTCCCCAATGACCAGGCCCAAAAAAGTTCAAACTTTATTATAGAGACCAAATAAGGAAGCCCAAAAAGTTTAAAGTTCTTCCATTAGCTAAGTAAGTCACTGAGAAGGTTTCCATGATCCTGTCCGGGTATTCCTGACAACGAGGGCTGCGAGAACAAAACCTCGAGACAACCCACAACAGCTTCGCACAGCCCATGCTGCTTACCAGGAATCATTCTTGCAAGCCTCCTCCTCAAAAGAAGCCAGAACCTAGCCCTTGCTCTTTGACATGCCCGTCCTCGCGCACCTTCGACACCAACAACGTGCCCATTCCGGCTCCAGTGCCTATCCACAAGATGTGAACCATCTCTTGAAAACATCTTGTCAGACAAAAGCTTGAACCCTGATGCTAAACTCCCACATGCAGCGCCAAAACCTTAAACCCTAAATCCCTAAATCCCTAAACCCCTACACCCCTAAACCCCTAAATCCCTAAACCCTAAACATGTCAAACGCCTCCGCCCAGGGAGTGACAAAGTTGGAAGCCCTGTAGGCCTTAGCTTTCAGACCACGCCACCCGAAATCTTCCCTTTGGGTTTAGGGTTTAGGGTTTAGGGGTGGGTTATGTATGGTATATATTGGGGGTTATACTGGGATAAAGGAAAAGACAGTGGAAACTATTATAATGGGTTATATAAGGTATATCTTGGGGTTATACTGGGATACTGAAAAAGAAAATGGAAACTATTGTAATGGGTTTTGTATGGTATATATTGGGGTTATACTGGGATACTGGAAAACAAAATGGAAACTACCATAATGGGTTATGTATGGTATATATTGGGGTTATACTGGGATAATGGAAGAAAAATAGAAACTATTATAATGGGTTATGTAGGGTATATATTGGGGTTATACTGGGACAATGGAAAAGAAAATGGAAACTATACTGGGTTATGCGGGGTATATATTAGGGTTATACTGGGATAATGGAAAAGAAAATGGAAACTACAATAATGGATTATATAGGGTATATGTTGGGGTTATATTGGGTCTAATGTTTCGTGGAATTCGACGGAAAAAGCCAAGGCCTTAAAAGTCTAGCTAATAGAATTGCGAAGGCAGATACTGGATACAACAACAGATCTTACTTCATTGTGGTGGCAAGGGGGCAGTCACAGCCCTCTGCTTCCTTTCTCACCACATCCAGCACGCTGTCGATCAACTCGGCACCTTCCGTATAGTGTCCCTCAGATCAGGGGTGTTTAGAGTTTAAGGTTTAGGGAGCGCAAATATAGGTCAGATCTCACACCCCTCTTGCGAGGCCATGCCATGAATCAGAATGCAGAACTCTTGCTGAGTTCGAGCTTGTGGACACCTACGTTACGCAAGACTTGCATACATGTGGACCACATCTCTCAACCCTTTTGCCCCACGTGCTTTCACAACCGCACGTGCTGCTACGACTCTTTCGTGCGGATATCATCCACAAAATGCTTCTGAATGCGCGTCAACTAAGTGATGCCCAGTCTCTTTAGCCCAGTTGTTCCCTGCTCCGGTCTGACCGAAGACAAAGTTGTCGGGACGAAACAACTGACCGAAAGGTCCAGCTCGAACACTGTCCATGGTGCCTGCGCAGCTGTCTTTCCCCGTGAACAACATTCAAAAAATATGTCTGATAATGCATCCTGCTTTGGCTTGTGCACGCGTATAATTCCGACTGCGTAGCTTGGTGTGCAGTTGATGCGAACACATGTGTGATGAGTTCACTGGCCTATCCACCGGAGTCCATTTTACACTCAAGCTCAAGCTTGTAAGGATGTGCCAACTTCTGAAATGATCACTTCCTGCATCCGAATCCTGTGATATAAGAATCCTTTGTGCACAACCCCCTCCTGCCGACCCTACACCCCACACACCCTAAGCCCTAGGCCATACTCCTCCACTCCTTAACCCAAAATACTAAACCGCACCCCAAATATCCTGAGTCACGCGCCTGGTTCAAGATCCATCAAGACTGCACGGGGCACGTAGCGGCCCCCAGTTGCCTCGTTGAAATAGACCTGGGATGACGCGCTGATAGTACCAAGGGGTTTAGGGTTTAGGGATACTATCCCACAATAATGGAGAATCAAATGGAAAAGGAAAATGGAAAATGAAATGGAAGCTGGGATCATATAGTGGTTCAAAGGGGGGAGGGAATAAACCCTAAACCCTAAACCCGTTCTGAGGGAATTCAGGGCTTTAGGGCTAAGGGCCTAGGGCGATCCAAAGGATCAGGCCTGATGCTTTTGATTTTCGGGCGATCACAGTAACAGACCTGAGAACATAACTCTGAGGGCTTCATGAAGTTGAGTTTGGAGCGGGTTAGGGTTTAGGGGTTTAGGCTTTAGGGATTAGGGGTTCGGAGTTATGAAAATCAGTGCTGCACGCATAGAGGTGATGCCTGTGTGTGCTGCAAGTCCATTTTCCAGTTGACCCTCAGCTCCATCAAGTGGGAGTTTCTCAGCAGGGGCTACCCTTGAAGAATCAAGGATATACGACAAGACTTTCAGGACTGGGGCTATCTTGTGAAGCAATGACGCCCTAAACCCTAAAACCTATGTAGCAGCAGTTTGAGCCGGATTCAGCAGTTCAGATTCGAGCCAAGAAGCGTTGATCCTTTCAAGCTGGAGGTCAGAGTCACCATGATAAGTGCCTGCTAGGGGTTAGGGGTTTAGGGCTTTAGGGTTTACAGCGCCTGCGCTTACTTGGCGTCTTGCCTTTCAACGACCTATGTAAAGCCAGCTTCATCTCGCTACGTCACAAAGCAAGGCCTTTCCCAAAAAAATCAAGTCCTTGCATAACAAGACACTTTTCGTAAGAAATCCTGCTTGCCAGACGTATACCCGTGCTTCATCCAAGCCTGCCTGTAGGGTCAATGCCATGCTCATCAGCGATGACCTCCCAGAACTTGGCGCCAATCTGGTTGCCACATTGTCCTGCTTCTCTTGTTGAATTGTTGAATTGATTGCAGTAACCTAGGCCCGTAGGTAGTTAACTGCACGGATGAAAGTCCAAAATGGCCGAAAGGCCAGGCAAAGAGACCCCGGACGGGGAGAGGTAAGGCAAACTTAAATCCAACAGTGCTTAGGCCGGCAAGAGACCCCCGTAGGGGGAAAGGAAGGGCGGGCAAAGGCATTGCTTCTCGTGAGGTCAACATTGAGTAATTCAACTTAAGAACCCGGTTGCCTTCAGCATCCTCTACCACTTGACGGACCTGCTACTCTAGTCCCCCTTAAGTAGATACAATATGGGGTATATGGGGATCTTTCTATGATATACCCAAAGCCATATTCTATCTACTTCAGGGGACTGTAGCAGTTAGCCATGAGACTTTAAGGCAGAGAGGCCGTGTCCTCCCTGGATGTGCACGAGCTCACGCATGGCTGCAAGGAACAATGGGGATGAAAGAACAGCTAGCTTTGAGATGCCAGGCACGCTAGGAGCCGCAAGCCAGCCAAAACGGAAAAGAATCGCGTCCACCAAACACATCGCTGTTCACAAAGCACAAATGACTAGCAGCAAAGGTCAAGGGGCTCGGATTTAGGTCCAGGGTTTAGGAATTCAAACCGTTCAGGGTTCTATTTTAAGCTAGGCTTGGCTTGTCTGGCCAATAATTGGGCGTCCTCATGTGTTGCTCAATTCTACGCGTGGTGTTCCAGGAACAGAAACTGCTAAACGCTAACATTTGTGCACCGCCACAACCACCAAGGAACTACGACTACAACGACCACCACCGCTACTACTGCTGCTACTACTACTGCTGATACTCCTCCTCCTCCTACTTTTAGTACCGCACCTGAATCCGGTTACTGCAGTTGGCCCAAAATTGCTGCGTGTCCCCGCTACACCTGCCAGCAGCGGAAGCGCGTGTACGCGGGCAGGGGCGGACGCTGATCTCTCAGAGCCACGCAGCGGAGAACTGCAGTCTGGGGTTTCAGCTTAAGAGTTTTGTGTTTAGAACTTAGGGTTTAGGGCTTAGGGTATAGAGCTTAGGAGTTCAGGGTTTAGTGCTTGGGATCCAGGTCCCAGGGTCGAAGCTTTAGGCGGTTGGGTTTCAGAGCAATCTACTAAAGGGGGACTATATACACCTTTGGGGGACCCAAATATAGACCCCATACTAACCCTAAACCCTTAACCCCCTAACATAAACCTCATAATGGGGACCTCCCAAAAGGTACGAAAAGCCTAAACCCTAAACCCTAAACTCTAAACCCTAAACTCTAAACCCTAAACCCTAAACCCTACGCCTAATCCCTAAACCCTAAACCCTAATCCCTAAACCCTAAGCCCTAAATGTTGCATCAAATCCCCGGAGTATCTTAAGGTTTTGGTCAGGGCTCAGTCGGGTTTAGGGGGGAGAAGGTTCAGGATTTTAGGGTTTAGGAGGTTTAGGGCTTAGGATTTTAGAGTTTAGGATTTTAGGGTTTAGGATTTTAGGGTTTAGTAGGTTTAGGTTGGGTACTGCTCCCCCCCAGTAACAGTCTATA